TAAAGAGGGGGTGAAGAGGGGGTGAAGAGGGAGAGTATTATGGAGAGTTAGGTGAAAGAGAGTACTGGGGAGAAGGAGGGGAAGAGGGAGAGTGAGAAGAAGGAGGGGAAGAGGGAGAGTAGTGTGGAGAGTTTGGGGAAGAGGGAGAGTATTGGGGAGACGAGGGAAAGTATTGGGGAGCAGAGGGAAAGTATTTTGGAGAGTTAGGGGAAGAGGGAGAGTATTGGGGAGAAGAGGGAGAGTATTCTGGAGAATTAGGAGAAAGAGAGTACTGGGGGAAAGGAGGGGAAGAGGGAGAGTAATATGAAGAGTTTGAGGAAGGAGAGGAAGAGGGAGAGTAATGTGCAGAGTTTGGGGAAGTGGGAGAGTAGTGTGGAGAGTTTTTTGGAAGATGGGATTTCAGAGGACTTCCTTTTTCTTTGTGTCTGCATTCTTATTTGTCTCTGCCCCTTCCTTTTTCTCGAGTTTGGTCTCTCTAAACTATCTCCCATCACCTTTTCCTTTCTCACAATCTGCACAATATAATGAAAAGAGTAAATCAAAGTGAAATTAAACAGATTAGGTCTAAGAAATTAAATAATTGATAAAATAGTAAAATGAGGAAAAATTGGGAAAATATAGAAAAAGTAGGAAGAATCTAAAAAATAAATAAAGAAATACTAGAAACAAATATAACTCTTGAAACAATACATAAATACTCATTAAAAGTATTTGTAGGAACACATAAATACTCATTAATAATATAATAACTCAATTTCAATTTTTCTTTATTTTCTTATTCTTTTTCTGATTTTATTTAGGATTCATTTTTAAGCCATTGCAAATTACAACATTAAAAGCTAAAACTATATAAGTATATGAAAGAAAACCGAAGAATAAAAACAAAAACAGAAAGTTTTTCTCCATTTTTTCCTTTTTTTTTATTTCCGTTTTTTCTTTTACAATTTTCTGTTTTTTTTTAATTTTCTAATTTTTCTCTTCTGCATTTTCGATTTCCCATTCCAAAAATTGAAACAGAAAAGTAGATAAACAAAAAAAATTCCCCATATGTATTTGACTTTGTTTTTTTGCATTTTCATTGTTTTTGGCTGGTTTATTAATGTCCTTTACAAAACATAAACTAAAACAGAAATTGCAATTACAATTTTCTCGTTATTTCATTGTCTGGATTTTATTTAGGATTCATCGTTTAAGCCCTTATAAATTTCAATATCAAAAGTTAAAACTAATATATTAAAAAAACCAAAAAGGTAGGGTTTTTTCAAATTTTTATATTTTCGGGAAGTAATTTGTAGGGGTTTTACCAATTGTAAAACCCTTCTTTAATAACCTAAAATTGAAACCCAAAAGAAAAAAAAAAAACGATACAAAACTATAAAACCCTAATTCTTGACCTAAACCTAAATTGGAAACATAAATGTTTCCTTATTTTCCTATTTTCTAAACCTAAAGCACTAAATATTAAATACTACTGAATATTAGATACCAAAAATTAAAATAAATAAAAAACTCACCTGTGACTGTTGATGCGAGCCGCCGAAACTAGCAGAAACTTGCCGGAGGAGCTTGTGGCTTTTCTTGATTTTTGAATATTGAGAATAGATAGAGGATCGACAAAACCTCCTTATCTATCTCTTATTTAAATAGAAAAGTTTTCCATTATTAAAAAATGAAATGGTATTCTAGTCCCTTGTGAGTCTACTGTGCATTTACTCTTTCAGGTGAAAATTAGCTTTAGGACCTCGAAGTTTGGGAATATAACCTCTTCACCTATAGATTAACATCATCCTAATCGATCCCTACAAGCATTTGAAAAATGTACCATCTCAAGATTGAATGTGAACCATCTAATTCTTAAAAGAGGAGATCATTCCTAATTGATCCCTACAAGCATTTGAAATATGTGCCATCTCAAGATTGAATGTGAACCATCTAATTTTTAAAAGAGGAGATCTAAGTGTTAAAAAACTCAAATTTTTTATTTTTTTATTTTTTTGAGAGTACTCATCCATCTAATGTTTATATCGTTCACAATATTTTAGATTGAAAATATCCTCCCAAAAAGGTCATCTATTCTTGGGAGTACAAATAAACTATGCTCCCAAAGAAGCATAATATACGTGCTCTATTAAAAGTGAAGGCGATCTAAAATTTCCAGTTAATCTCCCTTATATTATTTTTTTGATGAATTCACGTAAATGATGTATATATTTTTCAAGAGTTACAAATTATCTTAAGGTTAGAGACAAAAACAAGAGAGAAAAAAGTTCGCCGCAAGTGGAGGACAGGCGATACAGGAATCGCGGCTGGTGGTTGGAGCCCCGTGTTACTTGCATAAGTTCCTTTCTATTGCATTTTCTGATGGTAGTTTGGCCATAGTATCTATCTAATTTTGAAGTTATGCAATGATTTGAGTGTTTGATGTTCGGGACTCTTTTGTAATACTTTGAAAATTGATGTACAATGTATTTACAGTTTGGGGATTAGGTTATCTAGCTTTTGCTGTGTGTGTTATGGAGTTTTTGTTTTCTTTCGTGGTTTGCTTTGATTCCGTATTGAGTGCACTCCCACCTAAATGGCATTCGTTACCCTATGATCACTAGCTTATATATTTAAAATAAAAATTTGTATCTATCTTTTGCTTAAATGTTATTTAAGTTTTAGTGTTAATTTTTCTTCATTAGATCTATACCCATTTTCTACTTGTTATTACAATAATACCTGAAGGTTTTTAATGACTAAATTGCCCACTTTCTGATGTTAAACATCTGAAAATTTACATTCTAGTGTCCCCCAAACTTTTTAAAAATTAATTTATTTGATAAATTAAATTTTTTAGATTTTGAAAATTTCATTTTTAATATCCCAATAATTTTTTATTTAAAAATAAAAAATTTTAAATTGAATTTGGATTTTAAAAATCCAAAAGTTACATTTTTAACATCATTGATCATTTTTGGATTTCAAACTCTGAGATTTAATTTTAAATAATTTTTCAAATTTTTATAATCCAGAAATTACAATTTCATGTATTTCCTTAAATGAATTATTTCTCGTAGACCTCCCCGGACATTTTTTTTTTTTTTTTTTTTGAGGGTGTGGTTTATGTTGAGGCCGAGCCTCTTCACCATCACAATAGAGCGTGCTTTCAAATAGTGTCGAACGATGTTGTTTCAATACTGAAAGTTTTTGTAATGGCCTAAAAATTATTTTCATATCTAATTATAAAACTTAAACTTTAAAAAAATAGTGTAGATCAAGCATATCTATGAATACTCGAAAATCTTCAAAATTAACGCTCCAAAGATACATTACAAGATTCACTAGTTCCATGACTTGAAATCTATATTTTTATCATGTTCGTAAATCTTTAGGTTGAGATGATTAATTTGATGAATTTTGGGCATTAAAACAAACTCTTCTAATGAATTTTTCAAGTACGCCCTAATTTGATTGTTCAGAGCCTTGCTATATATATATATATTTGTAGGAAACTGACCGATTAAGTAAGAAGTCTGAAAATCTGCAAGGATAGTTCAAAGTCGTTGTGACCCAAAGATCACTAAGGTCAAAAAGAGCCAGGAAAGTGTAGGAACTGTTTCTAGTTGACTCAAACTAAATGGAAAATTTCATCAAATCAATATCTAATAGATCAGCTGCTACTAGTAATACACTTCGTGTTAATAATAGAGAGGAAGTAATAATAGATAATATAGCAAAACAAATCAAAAATTGGAATATACCAAGGTTCCCACAACATATGTTTATAATAAGGGAACTTTTTTATTTCAAAAGTAGTTTTTTAATCAAAACAATTAAAAAAAGTATCCATGTTATGGAAACTCAAGATAAATTCCAATTACTTTCTCAAAGAATAATCGATGATCATAAGAAGAAATATTACAAATATTTGCATATTGGATTGGTACAAATAGCTGTCAAACCATTGACAAGAATATGATTAAATAATTATGTTTTACTCTGTTTAAGAGACAGTAGACACAAAAGAATCACTAATTCTTTATTAGAAATAGTTGAATCTAGTCTCTGCAATGACCAATTATACTTTAATGGTTTTCCAAATTTCTCTGTGGCCTTAACAGATCAAAATATGTTAAAAGTCCTAACTCTAAACCTTAAAACTCAAGGTTTTGA